GAGCTAAGAAAATGTTTATCTCCCTGAGCCTGGCCTTCATAATTCCATTCCATCACATCAAGGCAGCATCAGAGTCTACTGAACAACCCAATGATTTACAGCAAGGGCTGGCAATATAACATCAGCAATGTGCTCCAGCACCAAACATGTCTTAAAATAGCACCCTCAGCTACCCCCAAAATAACTTTTAAATTTTTAAAAATGGGTGCTGTATCATGAGATGGTCGATTCTAGCAACATTTTGGCATTCAATCTCATGGTAATGGTTGGTGAGAATCATCAAAAACTCATGAGATTTGGTAATCTCACAAGATTCCTGATATTTTTGATCATTCAGTGGCACCCAGAATCTGAGAAGGCAAATTTAGCCAAAGTTCTAAAGTTAAACAAATGTGGGGATGAGAAAGGCAAATTTGCAGCGTGCACTTGGGGAGGAGCTGGATTTCAAGGATGAATTGCACAAAATTCAGTGGATCTTCCCTGATTCCTCTGTCCTTCCAATTAACCTTACCCTAATCCTAACCCCATATTGCCCCCAAATAAATAGTCATTATAACTGAACCACTATTTTGATATGCATTTCCAAGCAGGCCAGAAGCTGTGCTCTTCTGTGGCCCCCAAATCATTAAAATTCTCCCTCACTTTCAGAGACTGGGACTGTGCCTCTAAGAATGACAGAGATGCTTATAAATATAGCTTTAGTGTAAAATTTAGAAGCTTGATCTTCTGCATTTGTCCAGTCAGCAAAGTCATTTCTGCAACACTTCAGGTTTCTCAGTCATTCTCTTTAAGCAGTTCTGAACAAGAGACCACCGTTTTCAGGTCCCAAGTCTATTATGGTCCTTGCTCAACCCTAACTGTCAACATAATCATGATTCCAAAGATTTTCTTTAAGAATAAACAAACAAAATAGCAACCATGCTTAAATTCTAACTTGAACCAGGAAGAAAAAATAAATTTCAGAATTATTCTACTTTATAAGATAACAACAATCTGGGGCCAACCAGATGTGGGAATATGGGAAATCCCATCATATCTAAAGGGCACCAATGGATGCACAATTTAATTCCTGGAGTTATTAATGAACCCCAAAAGCACTGAGGATGGAACCCCTCATGCAATTTTTAGCATGGAAGAATGGGAATTTATTAACTATATGGCCAATAATAATTTTAACATTTACAGGTTAACAATCCTCATTTAACAACCACTCGTTCAGCAACAATTCGAACTTGTGATGGCGTTGATCAAGTGGTACTTGCGATCCGTCCTTGAAGTTCTAGCCATTGCAGCACCCCCGCGGTCATATGATCGCAATCTGGGTGCTCGGCAACTGGCCCAGATTTCCAACGATCACAGCATCCCACAGTCACATGATTGTAATCTGTGACCTTCCCTGCTGGCTTCCCACAAAGTCAATGGGGAAGCCAGCAGGAAGTCAGAAGTCACAATCACATGAGGTCCTCACTTAACGACCCATGGTTATTCACTTAACAATGGTAACTGGGGACTGCCAGAACTGACATCACTAAGCTGTGGAGTCCTTGAGGTGCATGGTCACATGATGTCATACTTTACAACCGCATCGCTTAGCAATGGAAATTCCAGTTCCAATTACCGTCATTAAGCAAGGACTACCTGTAAATCATTGTTTCAGTTTTGTTCTGGATAAATTTTTGAAGTACAACCCCCAGCACATTGTTCAAAGACTAAGTACAATTCACAGCCTGAAAAAAAATAACACAGCCCTCCTTCCTCAATATCATTAAATTCCTATGATTAAATTTTATGCATGAACAGGTTACCATTGTGTATGCATTGTTAGTGTTTTGGTGTTACTTATTAAGCGTGTCTGCACATTTTTGGTGGCATCCCCATCCAGTTCCACCCCAGTGAGGGGTTTTTGTAAGTGTGCTTCTTCACTTGCCTTTCAAAATAACCTCCATACTTTTTTATTATTTCTTAAAATTGAAGGTATTTGATCTGTCCTTGGAAACTATTTTAAGCTACTAATAGAAGCAACAATACAGGATATTTTTGCCCTTAAAACCTATCCTTAGAAGCATCAACAACAAAAAAGTACTAACAGGTTTTGCTTGTGGTTTCATGTTATCCAGGTTGCAGTAAAATGCTGGAAAATCACTTCTATAAAACTGAATAACCTGCTGCTATCAGCACGGCCTTTCATTTGGCTAGTAACTCAAGTGTATAATTCTAACCATACTGTTTTATGTTTCTGCAACACTGTTCAGTAATTTTTATTTGGAGAAGGAGAAAAATACTTTTGTAGATATATTTCTTGGCCCACATATGGAATTCTCATTCATTCTTCTTCTAGCTGCAAACCTTAAATGAAGACTTATTATCACTCATTGCATTTTTCAGTTTCAGTATCATGCAAAAGACCGAACAGAGCCATTCTTCGCTAGATAGCCAGATAGCCAGTACTTCGCTATCCTTTGCATTTTTTTAATCTCCTGTACACACCTTATTCCAGATGACACAAATACCTGCGGTAAAATATTTTGATGATTCCCACCAATCATTATCACGAGATCTTATGCACGTGGTTGTGCAGGAGGCCTCCTGTTCAATCTCTGACAGAATGAAATTCAGGTAAAGAAGCTGAAATTTCAGCTAAAAGGGCTACTTGGAGATCTGCAGCACTATTGGTTCCATCAGAGCTGGCTGGTACATACGTGCATGCGTCGGACTCTTAATGATACTACGTGATCCACTATCATTACTGCTGCTTTTAACTACTAATTTGGTTCAGTCAAAATTGTAAACTATATACACAGCCACTAAAAAATAAGCAACCTTTGTATTTGCTAATGTGAAGAATTTAACACTTTTTTGAAACAAGAACACACCTACCCAATAATACAGACTTTTAATGTGCCTGCTAAAATTAAAGTTACAGTGATAAAGTTTGATTGGATTCAAAATTCAGTTTAGCTATTCCATTGCAATATCTCTTACAGAGCTGCAGGGTTTGATGGCAAAATGATGGATATGTGGTACTTTAATATCAAAGGCACAACCGTTTGGAAGAGGCACTAAATATAACAAACTGTTCGCATACAGAACTATCTGAAGTGAAGATAATACAGTACTCTCTTTTAATCAGTTAAAAGGTGGGAACAAAATTACAGAATGTTGTCCTTTCTCCTCTTGCAATCCTTTATCCCCCTACTAGTTATGAAAATTTTCACACCAATATTTAATACACAGAGAATCTTTTTATCCATCAGAGTTCTAAACTCCGGTTAACAAAAATGGTCTAGTTAACCTCAACTACAGATGATGCCAGTCCAAAAGCATCTCTTAACTAGTGTTTAGACAGGAAACTGACCCGTGCTATGACCTGCAAATTTTACAGCTCCGTTGCTATCTTTTATTATGCAGTTTGAAGTCTCTGCATTAGGAAGTCATTACACTGAGCGAGGTTATCCTAAAAAATCCTATCCTGGAAACCCAAGGAAATTCTGGGCATGTGGAGACCATCAAAGTTATTTAGCTTTTATTCATGTTCAGAAAGATACTTCAGGTCTTATTCAACAGAAAGGAAGAACAGACTGTAACTTCAGTATCATGCAGCAATAAAAGAATGGCTTTAAATATAGCCGTAAAACTGGATTTACAGGCCAGGTCTACCACTAGATCTGTCGGCCTACAACAAAAGCTCGTGTCTGAACTTGTTTCATCAATATCCTGAAATTCCAAAATTATTCCACTCCACTTAATTGCAACCTTCTTTTAAAAAGGTGCTTTAGAAAGCCATTAACAAAAGGTTGCTTTGGGGGGTAGGGAATGGAGAAGCTTATTGCATTTTTTTTTCACCCATTGTAATAAGTCTTATCTTCCTCTTTCTGAGAAGGTAATTCTAACTCAGTTTTCTAGAGCTGGCACTAAATCAACAATATTTTACTGCCAGCTAATACAACTATGCAAGACTTTAACGAGATCTCAGAAAGACTCTTATGAAGAAAGCACTTGCTCCTCTTATTCAATTATATAAAGCCATAAAGACAGGGCTTTTAATCCACTTAGCAACCTGACCCTTCCACAGGCGAAACTGTCTTAAGATATTACTATTTTACATGTCTAAACAAACTCTACCTAATGTTTCTGTATCTAAACTACCACTTCCACCTCATTTTCCCAGTTTTCTACCATTATGCCTGAGGACAAATTATAGCATCATTAGAGAACAGTGCTGTTGCCACCTTCCCCAACATGGTGCCTTTCAAATGTGGCGGAATCAACTCTACCAGTAGAGTCTGGCCATTGGCTGTGTTAATGTAATGGTATGTAGGAATGACCTTGGGAGACAGGGGGAAGAGCTGCAGACAGGACAACAGTCAAATAAGAGGCAGCTTAGCCTACAGAAGGAATGGGGGTATGGCAAACTTCTCAGAAGGGACCCTCCCTAGTTTCTTGGTGATGGGGGAGAAATGTACTTTCAGAT